TGCCTATAGAGAAAGTGAAACACTTCTTGAGCCAGGATCACATTATCAAGTAGCTGTCTATCCTGAATAAAGGCAAATTGGCACACACTAATACAAGATGATAAGCAACATTTTAATCTGATGGCCAAAAGTTAAGACAGAACTTTGTACACTACACTGCATAATGAGATTGACCTATACTGATTGAGAGTAGAGGGAGAGTGACACATGGGAATGAGAGTAACGATAGTGTGATTCCAATATTTCAGCATCATACCAGAATTGAAAAAGCTTTGAGTTACATCAATTAAGTCTCTGTGAATCAAATTCCAACAATGCTAATAGAAATAAGCTGTCATACCATCTTCTCCTGGAGACTTATCAAGATGGAGACTGAATAATGCACTTTTGATATCATCATCTGTAAAAGGAAGAAGGAGCTGTTGGTTCATGTCTGCTGAAATAGATTGAGAGATAAGCTGAAGAATTGACTCTCCTCCCATGAACCTTCTGAAGTGAACAGAGTTGAGTAGTATCGGGTGATGTGATCTTCTATCTTTCCTTGGGTATTGCAAGTTCTATTACTGTCAATGGTTAGTCTGGTGATTGCATTCAGCCGTCTTCTTTGGACAATGTAGGCATGGTAAAATTTAGTGTTGACATCTCCGTCCCTAAGCCATTGAGTTCTGGATTTTTGAGCCCATAATTTTTCTTCAAATGCATAGGCTTCATCAAGATCCCTTTTAACTGAATCCCACTCACCCCAATTCTCTCCCCTTGCCTCTGCTCCGAGATTATCAAGATTAGATGACAGACTGACAATCTTTTCCTGATTCTGGTATTTAAACCTTGAACTCCAGGTGAGAAGGGCAAGTCTTGTTTGCTTCACTTTATCTTTCAGTCTGTAGAAGGGAGTGCCTGTTTGAGGGATATTACAGGCATACTGAACCACTTCTTCAAATCCTTCATTGGAGATCCACCTTCTATCAAAATTGAACCTTTCTTTTATGCTTATGATCCTGAGAGCCAGAGTCAAGAATGATAAGTGAGTGATCAGAAGTTGTTCTGATCACATTTATGACCTTGGCATGAGGATGAGAAATGTGCCAGTCAAATGAAGCAGATCCCC